CCCCGCCCTCCCGCAGCTCCACAGGAAGGAAAATCCCGCTTTTCTAGGGCGTTTGCTCATCAGCCGTAACGACCCCAAGCTTTCAGCTCTGTGGCCTCTGCTAAGGATGCAAATATATGAAGCAGGGTTAGGGGCTGCTCCCCTTCCCTCTCGCAGCCGAGGCACACGGGTGGGTTCAAGAGAAAGGTCATTTGACCTGGATCTGAAATTTTCTCATCCTTTCTGTAAAAGAGGAAAACCACCCCATCATTTCAAATATTTCAGGCATGTGTAAACTGTTTTTTTTTTTTTATTCCACAGAACAGAAAAAGACCACAAGTGTTCACAGAGCCTTCCACCTGAGTGTATCTGCTCACTCCCTCCAGTGTATCTGCTCACTCCCTTAAGGAGGGCACTCGTCACTGCACCGAGAAGCGACGCGACCAAGGTAGCAGCGAAGAATTGTTGTATACGAATAACCTAAAGAACCCACAGAGACACCAGACTACATCACAAAAGTGGCTGCAGCAGGGAGTAATGGAGTTTGCACCAATTACATTCATTCATGAAGGCCTTGGCTTTCTCTTCCTTACTCATGTCCATTTTCCCAAGTTTCTATGGAAACAATGAACCATGTTCTTAGGTGATATTAAATCACTGTGTTGCTAGCAACATCAGCATGTGTAGCTTACTGAGGTTTGCAGTAAACTCTAAATTCTCCTTCAATTTTCTGGAAGTTTCAGGAAATAGCACAAACAATCTTCAGCCCTTGGCCATCAGCACCAAATTCTGTGCCTCTTGCAGCTCTTAACAGAACTTTATTGTGCTCTGTAGTTACCTCAGTCTTCAAAGCTCACATCACCACAGTTTTGCAATTGAATAGTAAAGCTACCTAGCAGAAGGTGTAAAGGAAGGCAGGATTTTTAATGTTTTTCCCTGATAAAATGAATAACAGAGTGAGGAACATTCAGTTCTCTAATATAACAAGCCCACGTGCATCCCAGTACCTCTAGGAAAAACGTGCTTAATTACGCAGCCGATCTAATTTGCTTTCTCAAATGCTTTGGGATCCACGTAATGAGGAAAATGCTACGTGCAATTTACTCACATGCTATAATGAGGAAAATGCTACTGCAATTTACTACAGAGAAGAAAATCATAAGAGGAGAGGGCCAACACCTGCAGGATAATAGTGCCGTCATAATACTTCACAAGCCAAGTGACCAGGGCTAGAATTTTTCCAAGTTCTGAATCCTTGCAATTTAAAAGGGAATTAATGGAAGTTGGAGAGTGTTCAGCATCTCAGAAAGTCAAGCCTTTAACTTCTTGTGCTTACCATTACTGTCTAGACACGTCACTGCTCCTCAGTAATACAGCTTAAGTTTATCCTCCTACTTCATCAAAGGAACTGAACTTGTTTCCCCCTTCTAATATGACCTCTCGCCCAGAATGAAAAATAATGAAGCACTCCAAAGCCAGGAAACGCTGAACTTCATTCTAGATATTAGCCCTTTACCTCTCTCCTTTTCCTTTTGTTTGATGATGGCAAATACTCATTCCTTTACAACGCCCTATCGAGAATGCTTTGAAAACCTGTTTTTCGCAATGCACCCGATGTCAGAAAACGTCACCCAAGTGGTGTGGGACTGAACTACAAAGGGGTTTTTTACACATCCAACTCCAGTACCAGAGCATTTCAGCATTAGTACCACAGTACATTTTGTCACTCAGCTTTAGAAAACACAGCCTCTTTTGTTGAGCTTCTATAAACAGCAAATAGCTTCAGTTGGCTAGTAATGGTTAGGTTGAGGGATGGTTGCCGGTTTGCAGGCAGGATGGGCAAAGTGAAAAACCCAGAATTCCTTAAAAACAAGTGCCTAAAAAGTTGGCACTCACCCCCAGAATTTTTAGGCTCATTTTCCCATATGCTACTTTATATTTCTGCAGAAATTGTGCAGACTTTCTGACCGAGACGGGCCCAGGCAGTGCTCAGCATCTGCCTGAAGCATCATGTGAGCAGTTTTCATCTGCTCTCCACACCAACCTGTGGGTGTGACACGTCAGACTGCGGCGGCAGCGAGGGGCTCTGCTCGGCAAATTTACATGCGCACGCGCCCTGGTGAAACTTCGGTCTGAGCCCACATGGTGGCTGTTACATTCCTAATACACGTTGATGTAACCCCATACAAACAGCTCTAGCTCTGAAGCCAACCCTGCTGTCAGCAGGAACCCCCAGAGGGCCCTTTCCCCCCCATGCTTTTTCTGGGACTAATGAAGGATGTGGGTCCAACGACATGAGTGAGGGCTACTGCCAAAGGAGTCCTCTCCTCCTTCCCTCCATCAGCTCCTTTCTGTCAGTAATGTTTTGATTGCTTCCAGCCCTGTGGTGATCAGTCCTGCTGAGCCCACTGCCCAACTGAAAGCTAATCTGGCCAAACCACATTTTTTCCCACCAGGCCAGTTCCCAAATCCCAACCCCTCTGTGCAGCTGCACATGCACAAGGCAACAGGGACTGATGGCAGGGACACGGGAGGGCAGGGATTACTCCTTCTGGCCACATCAGGTTGCGTTGGCTGTGGAGTGTTGCAAAATATGAAAGGTTCAGTTGACCAAGTCAGTGGTATTTAGGCTTCTAGATCAGTTATGTGTAAACTCCTGGGCCTGAGTAACTCTTCCAAATGCCTTTAGAAACACATGGAGGCCCCTGCCATCCCCTCCCCTAGGAGTCCCACCTTGCTGCCCTCCATCCCCAGCAAGGGAGTGGCAAGGTGCTCCACAAGACCTTCATGCCTGGATACTACTCCTGCTGCTTTCTCCCTCCTCTCCCACTCCTTTGCATACTCAAGTCCCCTGGCAAAGGTTGCAAAAGCTGACACATCTCAGCGCAGCTCACCCTCGAGCTCCATTCCCAAGCTTGATGTACCAGCACTGTCAGAGGTCAGCAACTCTGGCTTTCGATAACCTTGAGGATTTCAGAATGAGATACCATTGGAAACTGGAGCTGGAACAAACCTTCTGGGACAATTTTGCTGAAGTGGGAGTATGTGAACTTATACCACATTCTCTGTACAAGGGAGGGGGTTACTGACCAGCTTGTGGGAGGGCACGACAGCCCTAAAGGGCTTGCTCTAGCTTTACCTGCAAGCAGAATTCTCTATCCCAGGTGAAGCCAACCCTGGCCTTCAGGCAGGTTTTGGCAGCCCTGGTCTATGAGACTCTCTTCCCACCTTGCCCTCCCATCAAAGTTTTTGTGGAAACAAGTGTATCTCTACAAAATAACATAATTTGCCAAAAATGTCACTTCAGCAACATTTTCTCAAGAACTTCCCTGGTACTTCTGAGGCTCCTGAACAACTGTAATAAACATCTACTTGTCAGTTGGTATGCAGTTCACACCGCTTGGAGATGGTGAGACTTTACATCATGCTTTGACCAAGGAGCATGACACAAGAGCACCCTGACATCACTGAAAAAGCATTAAAAATGGCAGCCATTTTAACGTGGTAAGAGAAGTGCAGCTTTCCAAGTTGGAAGATGTGTTAAACTGAGCAGAAGACAGCAGTAATTCAGGAAATTAGTAAATTCGCCATCTGAGTTTGAGTAGGCTGTTAAATATGTAATGTCTGTCTGGCCTGGCAGATCTGAAACAGAGTCTGAACTGTATTCTCCCTTCATGCATACATAAAGAAGAAAACCCAGTGGCTCAGGGATACATCAGACTCAAAACTTCTCTTTGAGTGTCCAGAACCAACGTTTTCCTCACACCATGATGTCTACTTCCAGAATTAAAGTAAGTGAAGACAACGAACAAAAAAATCCTACCAATGAAATTGAGTTCTGTGAATCAAAGAATCAGAAATTCAAAATAGCCCATGCAGTGTAGAGTACTCAGATGCATATTTCCAAAAGCAACAGAAAAATCCCTCTACTGGTGAACAACATTTTTTCTAGGTCAGCACTCAGCAGGAGATTTTGCAAGTGAGTATTTTTATTAAGCATTATAACTGCATGGATGCATATCTGTATTTCTAGCTTGAAACGCCAGTGGAGAGACAATGAAGTAAAAAGAGAAGCAGATGGCTCTGCAGCAAACCTGGGTGAGATGGTTTCAGGCATACCTGCAACCCTAACACACACGTACCTGCCAGTAGTCCTATGAGAAGCATTACAACCCATCCTGACCAGGCATCCAGCAGACTCTTGATGAACTCCCATATGGATTCCTTACTTCTGCTTGTAATCTGAAATTAAACACATATATACATGTGTTGCCGATTCAGGCTGACCCAGTTTGAGCATATAATGTTTAAAACAAAAAACATTTAACCTCATAGAAGGTGCACACATTTCTCTACCCCCTCCAGTCCAAGTCAGTTTTTAGATGCTCTTTAAGTTGCCAGAAGCCCTTTCGTATTTACAAACTCAAGACATACCACGTCCGTATTTCAGGAAGACCTCCTATAGTCATACAACAAGGTAGGAAGCAGCAGCATTGGAAAACTACTTGTTTTTCTCACCGCCAGGATGGCTGTAACCCCGGGACTGTGATGCATCGAAGCCAGACGCCTTTACCTTTCTATGGCGGTCAGTGTCGCGTGATTTCTCCCGCAGCCAGTCAATGGTGTGGAAATCTTCGTAAGTCCCAACGTCGGGGAAAGGCTCGTCCAGAAAATCCATCAGGTTGCCGGAACCATTCATGTCTCCTGCATTGACCATATTAGGGTCTGCATGTAGAGGAAAAACAAGTATGTCAATAAATTCCTGCAGCTTTGCCAGACATTTCAGAACCAGGTTTTCCAAAGTTCTTCCACAAACCCCAAAGCCAAGAGACTGTGAGTCAGCAGCCCTGGTGAGCACTCACTGAGATCTAGGCATTGCCACCAGAAAAAGTATTTTGCTGAAGACGACTTCGACACCATAGCAAACCCTAGAAACCACATCCAAAGATCACGGTCTCCGAGTGCAGAAATATCAGCTTCCCTGAAAACAGAACCCTGAAACCCAGGATGTTCCCAGATTTCTTCTGCCACCATACACCCTGATCACAAGTTGGAAGAAGTTCCCTGCCTGCACAGAGGTCATCAAGCTGGCAAGGTCACCAGCTCAGAGGCAAATGATAATACACTGGAATTCACCATTCGTCGTGAACTGTGGATTTCACAGGGCACCATTACTCCTAACACTGCGGTGCTGGCTAGTTTTGCATGCTCAGGGCTCCCTGCATTGATCCGCTTTCCTTCCACGGCTCAGAAAGCAAAGCTCAAGATCACGGTAGGTCTGCCCTGCATCAGGTCTGAAAACGCAGTATCTTCTTCAGGCTTGCTTCTCAAAGGCTAGGAGCAGAACCATTCCTGGGAGAGCCTGCGTGGCTGTCTTCTGTCCCGCGTACAAACTTGCCAAATTTGCTTTTAAGTGAGCAGGGGGAGAAACAGCCACCACGTGTCCTGCTGGATAGAGCACACGAGGCAACGTAGAGACACCTATCCCCAAATCATAACAACCAGTTACCGGAGGCACTGTATGGTTAAAAAGGAGATCAAAGTACGCTGTGAAATAACGTACACTCTAGAGCCTGGCACACAGGCTGAGTGGACATTTTCAGCCCAGGATTCTTTGGGAACGTGCTCTCTGGGTTTACAGACTACAGACGTGAAAGCAGAGTCCATGCCTGTTGCTCTGAAGCCCTGGAAACTGCAATCTACATGAGCAAAGCGTGAAGAAGTTAACTCATAACCACTGTACCTCTCTTCCCCACAGAGAGCTCCGCAACATCTGGCTGGGCGCAAAAATGACTCTTATCTCCTTTAAAGGTCAGGTCCTGAAGTAGTCACTAATATGGCAAGTTCCAGAAATGGCTGACATCATTCCCGGTGAGACGAGCCTTTAGTAGCATAAGAATCCATTAAACGAAGCAGTTCAGACACACAGGGTGGGGATTCAGCCAACTTAACTTCAGCTATCCCGAAGTTTGGTGTCTGGACTGTAAGAACCACCTAGGCTGCCTCTAGGGACAGCCAGACGCGTGTAAGGGTGCATGGCAGCAGAGTGTCTGTGCCCTTAGGGGTGTCAGGTCAAGGACCTTTTCCAGTGCAGCAAGGGATAATAAGTGAAGGGGGGAAGCATGAACAAGAACATACAGGGACACAAACCTGATGCAAATGATATGGGAACCAGACCTGGTCAGTCACACTCACTGATGAGGGCACGAGGGAGCGTGAGAATGACTATTCCGGTGAGGTTGCCTGACTGGGAACCTGGTCAACTGGGAAACGATGGGAAAAAGGGGGAAACTGAAAAGACACAGACCTGGCAAAGCAAACATGGAGACAACGTCAAGAAACAAACCTCACCGCTCACGGTAACTGAAGGGTTATTCATTGCGTGTGTGTCTCTGGGATACATGCTCAGCTTTGCGACTGGTTGAACCTGCAGGTGGGAAAGTGGCAGCCGTGTCCCCCAGCCTGGGCAGGGAACCCAGCCCCGCAGGCTGGGCTCCAGCAGCCAGGCAGGATGGTCCTGGTCCAGGGCTGCTGGAGAAGGCGGCCACGAGCTTCTACATCACTTATAGAATGATAGAATCCTTGAGGTTGGAAAACACCTTTAAGATCATCAAGTCCAACCCTTAACCCAGCACTGCCAAGTCCACCACTAAACCATGCCCCTGAGCACCACAGCTACATGTTTCTTAAATACCCCCAGGGATGGTGACTCTGTCACCTTCCCGGGCAACCCGTTACAGTCCCTGACCACCCTTTCAGTGGCTTTTCCTAATATCCAATCTGAACCTCCCCTGGCACAACTTGAGGCCATTCCCTCTCATCCTATCACTTGTCACTTGGGATAAGAGACCCACCTGTCTGCAACTCTGAAGAGTAATTAATCCCATCCATCCTAAAATAGGTGCCTGGGAAACAGGGTCTTCCGGAGTGTACCTAGTGGCTGTAACCTGAAAGGGTAAGCTTAAGGAAACGGCTAACTGAGGGTTAGGTCAGTGTTACTGTGCAAGGAATAAAAACAAATAAACAAAACAAAAAACACACAAGGAAACACATGAGGAAAAGAATGGGGACAGATACAGACATTTGGGGTTTCACAGAACGGGCCACGCAATGCCTCTAGCTTCTTGACAGATACAAGATAACTTTTTGCAGGTCACTAATGAGACTAGCAGGGTCCTAACGACTGCTACCCACTTCTCTGCATCAGGTACAACCAACACAGGGATTTCTCCAGCAAAGGATTTGGTTCTTTGTGAGGAAATTTCCTAATTCTGTATTGGAACGGGCAAAAATGCGGCAGATAAGCTTTTAATAAACTGCCCACACCCCCTGCTGCTCTGCTAGGCTCCCTTTGTTTGCTGCCTTTTTTCCCAACTCTCTCCATTTTCAACTGTTTGACTTGAATCCTCTCCATGTAATTTTTTTTCCCCAGTAGGGACTTTAGGGATGTAACAAGCATGAATACTCAGCTTTGCCTGCTCTTTGCACTCCGTCGGGTAGGATTTTTTGGAGGACACAGACAATGTGCTCAGCACAAGCAGCTGGGAAAAGCATTATCTTACAGGCAACCAGCGGGTCACCATTCTGGTTCTACAGAAACCCTGTTAAGTGCAGAAATCAAGTCATCTCCAAGCACCGTGGCATGTTTGTCTGAAAGAGAACAGAGGCAGGGAGCCACAGCCTGGGGAAGGAAACCACCTCAGGGAAGGTATCCCACACAGCACCGCTGAGCGCAAACAAGCTGCCGCAGGACAGAGGTGACTGAAAAAGCTGTGCTAGCTTTAGTCAGGACAGAGTTAATTTTCTTCACAGTAGCTGGTATGAGGCTCTGGTTTTGGATTTGCCGTGAGAAAAGTAGTGATAAGGTGTCTTTTTAGCTGGTGCTGGGGAGTGCTTACATTCAAATTCAAGGTGTCTCTCAGCTGCATTCCCAACTTCCTCACTGATCCTGCAGCTGCATTCCCAGCTCTCTCTCACTACAGGCAGTGCAGGGGACACACAGTTCAGGCAGCTGACCCACACTGACCAAGGAAGTATTTCATTCCATAGTACGTCATGCTCGGGGCAGAGGTGAGGAGGGGGCCAGGGGCCTATAGCTCGCTAGCTGGTTCGTTCATTACTGAGCTGGTGGGTCAGCTGGCTTTCTCAGCCGTGCTGTTGCTCGTGGGACTTGCTCGGACTCTGCTGTGATCGCTCGCAGGCTCTGCCTCTTGGACGCTCTGGCTCTGACTCTCTCTCACTAGTGTATTGGTCAACAGCTGGTAAGCAACAGAAAAATTTGTTTTATTTTCTATTACTTTAATT